GTGTCAGTTATTGTGCTCTAAGTGCCCCTGGAAGGCCCTGATTCGGTTATGTCCGATACGTGTTCCTCTGTGCCTGGAACCCGAACATCTATCGTACACTATCTTCCTGGAACCACTCTCCTCGCCGTTTGTTGGCGTGAGTTCTTTCAGCTTCTGTTATATTACTGTAGCATTTCCCCTGAACTAATCGCGTATCCGCAAATTCGTGAAAGGAAATTCAAAGTAAGTCACAGTTTGACAAATTATTGTTATTATCGACAAGGGCTATCCACCTGTAACTATCTGTTAATGACAAAAAACATCATTGCCGCATTGTGCATTTTCATCAAAAAATTGTAGAAGAGAACTTTTTTTATATCAAAAATTTTCGTAATTTGAAGCAAAGATGGTAATTTTTCTTTTTGATTGCTTAAGTAGTCCAATATGCTGCCAACTAAACATGGAACAATTTCAAAATTATGCTTCATAACAAAGTTGAAATTCGATCTGCAACTGTTAATATTTTCTAGATATTTTCGAAAAAAAAATTGAATATTTTTCTCGTACTCCCCAAGGGAGGCTCTATCACACCTTAAAAGGAGTGACGTCAATTTTGAATCACCCTGTATATATATTTAGGTATTTGAAAAAGAAATGAACCAAATAACACTTATAAAACATACTTAATATATTATATTCAAAAATACGAAAAAAACGCAGCAAACATAATAATTCATTAGTTCAAAATTTTTATTGCAAACATTTGTCTTAGTAACTCGTTATAGCACTGACCAGTTAATGTTTCTTGGTAAAAACATGGTTCACTATTTTGCGACTATTTTACCACGAAATACTATGCTGACGGGGGTCGATTCGAAATAAATTTTCCTTGCTCTAGTAGTGAAGATTTTGAAGAACAAGCATTCCTGAGTTTAGTTTGGTTTTGCTAGAAAACTGTTTTGAATATCTCACGTTTTGGTACATTGATCCTCGCATACCCTGTAAATGAGTGAAACTCATCCCCAAAAATATGTTTTAGGTATAGGCATCGTTGGATCTTGCAACGAAGATTCCGGTGGACCTCTTGTAGTGAACGGAACCCAAATAGCGATCGTTTCCTTTGGAGTGGTGAATTGTTCAGCAGGAATTCCTTCAGTTTACGTTCGACTTTCGTATTTTGCCGACTGGATCGATGAAGCAATGGAAAATTTTACAAGATCCGATGATTACAGCAATGCRAACCSTTCTAGAGAATGGTCAATTTATGCCTTACTAGCAGCCGTGCTTTCAACTAGACTATAATAATCTAGTTCCATTTATTTAGTAATCATCATATTGAAGTTAGGAAATTATCCCGTAGATATTTCGTTATTTTCAACTAAGTTTAAATGATAGAAAATAAGATGCTGCAAAACGAAGTCAATTAAGTTGTTACTTTTGCAATGCTAAGTCGAATTCGCTGAAATTATTGACTCAGTATGTATGTACAAGAAAATGCAGCCAAACTTTTACCTTTACCTAAAAAAATGTTATATTTGAATTGAAAAGCTTTAATAGGTTTTATCGAGCAAAGAATGCTTTGGCTCTTAGCAGCAGTCTCATTTTACTACCATCACTGAACTACATTAACATAAAATTTGTTCTGAACTTGAGTTTAATTTTATTAACGATTAATACTTTTTATTCAGACTATTATTTTAGTTATCCTTGTGCTSTTTCCTTCCTTCATATGGAATACCCTACSTACAGCTAATAAATTTACTKATTTTAATACTAAACCGCAGAAAAATCGATTACAGAAAGATGATCACTTTCTACGTCGAATTTAACATGAGATAATGTTTTATCTTGGGACAACCRGCAAACGGTTTATTGCCATAGGGTTTAAACCTCCGCACAGGGTGATTTTCGTAGACCGTGCAATAAAAGTTTTCCAACTTAGTTGTAGAAACTTCAAATTTTGTTTCCGGTGATAACCAGTAGTGCCGAAACCATGTACAATACATTCAGCCCTCTAGCTATACAGGGTGTACGAAAATTGTAACCTGACTTTCTTATTTTAAATACAATCTCCAATTCGAATTGCGAGTTTGGGCCACTCTAGTTCTGTTAACTTATCTTATATGGTCTTTGATATATGTCAATTGTTTAATAAAAAATACTTCGAGCTAGGGAGGCATAAAATTGGAAGGAGCTCATGTTGAACCTACATACAAAATTGTTCAGTAAATCCGTTACAATAAAAATATGTTTTCTTTGAAAACCGTCCTGTTTATCGGTATGAATGAAGAGTGTCCTTTTTTTAGTTTAAGATTAAAGCTAGCTAAATACGTTATTTATGTGTCTTCATTGTAAAGGGTAAAAAGTAACTATTATTGTGCTCCACTTAGGCCATCCCTGTTCTTTTTAGGGATCCTAGGGTCCCTAAAACTTGTTATGTTTTTTAACGTCTCTTGTACAAATCCGAGACCATGCCCACATATTACGGGACACCCTGTATACCAACATTGTACGTTCTGCAATCTGTACCAAAGATGTAGGTACCTACATTAAAATATTATTCGTATGCAAAGTCAGCACGTACATAATAGTACGCAATATAGACCAATATTTAACGCCTTGTGCGTACCGGCGTAATCCGTATCAAAGCGCATACATACATCAAAATTTTATTCATGTGCAAACTTAGTACCTACGTGCATAATAGTATGTCCTACGGACCAACATTTTACGGCTTGTAAATTCTTGCTGATGAAGTTAGAGTGAGTTTAAAATTTTCGGATGGGGGAGCGTTTATTTGGAGAAGACACAGCCAAGCATGTATGGTTCCCCAACTAGCTTTCAGTGGTGGCTCAATAATGTTTTGGGGTGGCATTTATAGTACTGGCCTCCAAGGCCAGTACGCACCTTGTGGTGATTCAAAAAAATCATTAACTTCCCAGAAGTACATTCAAGAGATTCGAATCATATCGAAACCATATCGAACATTTTGCACCTACTCCTGAAAACTTGGCTGAATTAAAAAACGCGGTTCTTCAAGAATGGCAATAATTCATAACCATTTTTTTATGGCATTCCAAGACGTTTGAGGGACGTTATTTGA